CCTCCTCCTCCCTCTTGCTCCCTCCTCCTCCTCCTCTTCTTATTATTCTTAGTATTATTATTATTCTTCTTCTTCTTCTTTTTCTTATTCTTCTTATTCTTCCTCCTCCTCCTCCTCCTCCTGCTCCAACTCCTTCTCCTCCTCCTCCTCCTCCTCCTCATCCTCCTCCTCCGCTTCCTCCCCCCACTCTTAGCCCTTTCGATCAGGGTCGGCGGCACCGGCCGTCAGGCCTCTCCAATAATCACTGCGTCGGATGATGTAGCAGGTACAGTCACAGGTGCGGCTGCTGCAGTCACGTCGTGACGACCCTGGCGCTGATCTCTGACACCGCGCGGATCGTTCGATCTGGCGAGGAGCGATCGGGGCTTTCCGACCGCCAGACCGTTCCATTATCGGCCGATTCTGGGCCACTGGCGGCGTTACTTTGAATTTCCGGAATGGTGGCTGGGGCGTCGGTAGTTGGGCGAGCGTGTAAGAACAATTCGAAGTGTCGAAATCTGCAGTCGGAACTTCGAACCACCACTTCGTGCTCCCAAGCGGTTGTGGCGCGGAGGTCTTGCGTGGATCGTGCGCCAAGACGACCAACCACCATGCAGCTGACGACACGGTGGTGAGGCCCGAATGCGTAACTTGCACCTGCGCAAGCAGACAGCACTAATGACCCACCATCGCGCTGACCACAAAGTCGCCCATCCCAAGTCCAACCCTGCACGCCCGCATCGGGGTCACCGCCGCGCCGACACTACCCGAGGCGCCGCGACCGGCCTCAGAGCGCCGCGGCTCCGCGAGCCTCCCCGCCACCCCCTTCGCGGCCGCTAGCGCCCCAGGGCCCCCGCGAGGACCTCGGCGGCCCTGAAGGCGACCGCCTGCAAGGTCAGGGCAGGGTGGCCCCAGATCTGCTGCGGCACGATTGACGCATCCGCGACGGCAATGCTTCGGAGGGGGGCCCGGCCGAGAGACGCCGGCGGCCCTCCCTGGCGCTGCTCGTCCCCGCTGCCTCCCGGAGGCTTCTCGTCGCCGAGGGCGGGATGCGCCTCGGGGAGCGGTCCAGGAGAGATCCCGGGAGGGGTCCGGGGGCCGACTGCGAGCGGGCTTGGGGCGCCAGGCGGGGGAGCCGCCGCCGCTGGCTCAGATGGTCCTCCTCCGGATGTTCGTGCTGCCTCTGACGATCAGCGTGGCGGGGTCCACGCAGCTGCCGAGCGCGCAGCTTCCGGCGAAGTGGTTCATCTCATAAGGCCCTACGGCCGCCCCGTCGGGCAACGCACCCACCTCGCGCATCCACCCCTGGGCCGCGAGCTGGGCTCCGCTCATGGTGTCTTGATCCTGGGGGGACCAAGCAATACCGACGCCGCTGCTCCCCAAGCCTCTCCCAGGGTGCGCCCTGGCCAGAATTCAAGGCGAGTCCAGCGGTGGCGACGAGGGCCTCCCAGGAGGCCCAGGAGGGCGAAAACGAGGCAAGGGCCGGGGTCTCGGGACGTCGTTCATCCTCTGAGGTCCTGCTTGCATCCCAGCTTCATGTTCTTGTTCTCCAGACCCAGGTTGCCCCCCTTCAGCACCAAGTCTGCACTGGAGCACGTGGGGCGCATGAGCGAGAATGACAGCGTGACCTCCGTCGGCTGGTCCCGGCGGCGCGCCGAGGGGGAAGGTGCAACGCCTTCTTGGAAGGCAGAGGGGGCTTGTCAGAAGCCCCCAGCATCCTTCTGAGAAGCCTCTGGTGGCTTCTGGAGAGCCGCGTGCCTTCACTGAAAAGGCCGCCCCCCCACTCCGCAGAAGTTGTCTCTCAACGCCCTGGAACATGACGTGTTGCACCGATTTCCCCCGTGGAATAACCAGGATGCATGAGAAGAGGGGGTCTTGCCAATAGTGAGTAGTTGCCAACACGCATGGCGAAAACATACAATATTGCAATTTTTTCCAACGCAGAGGTGCGGCTGAACAGCGCTGCTGAGCAGTTCACGGCAGGGCAGCATGCACCAACATCAACACTGACGCAAACCATACTCAGCCTGCGGGCGACGTCTTCAGCTGATTCATGGGGACCACACTTTCGATTTGGCAAACGCGCGTCAAAGACTGACAGAGCAGGGCACCCGCAGGGCACCTGAAGGGCACGTAAGAACAGGGGGCGACGACGACGACGACGACGACGACGACGACGACGACGACGACGTAGGGCACCTGAAGAGCACTACGTACTATTGCAATGAGCGTGCCAAAAAAAACAATGAACTGCGTCCAGTGGCCTGGGAGCCTGCCTCATTCGAACCGCCCAGCGTAGCTCGAACATAACAAAAAACGTGTGCTTAATTCCTCCTTTTCAGAAGCCTCGAACAGCCCTCGTGGGGCGGCGGTGGGCGCTTGCAGTCGTGCAGCATGCTCGCTGTCTATGGGAATGTACAAGCGAGAAAACTCGTTGCGGAATTGAGGTGCGCACGTCCATAGGGGACAATAGAATGGGCCATATTGACGGATTACAAGAAAATTGGGGATTACAAGGCGATCCCTGGACCTCAGAGACTCGCCGCCGACCGCTTGACACACATTGATTCTGTGTGTGGCGGATTACACATCGATTCCTCATGGCGGATGACAAATTGATTCCCCTTGTGGCGCATTGCATATTGTTTCCTTTCGTTGCGGGTTACACCTTGACCCTCCTGGTAGCGGATTACACGTTGATTCCTTGTGTGGCGGATTCTACATTAAATTGCTTGGTGGCACAATACAAACTGATTCCTCTTGTACGGCTTTCAAGCAACATTCCTGTGTGCATGGCTCACGGGGAGAGGGGGGCGGGGGCCTGCCCGACGAAACAGGCGATACAACCAAAAAACAACTTGGGGGACCAAACCACATGGCTTTTATGCGCAAGACGGTGCTTAATAATAACCACCCAGACACAACAAAGCCACCCTGGAATCCAAGAGCAGCTGTGGTTTTACAGTGCTCCCGCATTTGCACCTTGATTCCCACTGTGTGGCCTTCAAAATACATATGGACTCTTAGTGTGTACGATACAATCGAAATTCTTGTGTGCAGGCTTGCGCATTGATTTGTATTGTGCGGCCGTCAAACAGAATTCCTGTGTGTCTGGCTCAGGAAAAAGGGGGGGCTGGGGGCTGGACAAAAAAAAATGGGCGAGCAAACGCGGTGTTTTTCACTGCAGAGTGGTTCTTACTTGTAATCACCAAACCACAGAAGCCAACCTGGAAAGGACGAACACCTGTGTTTTTCCAATGCTTACGCGTTTACAAATCGATTCCTAGTGTGCGGCCTTCAAATAAAACCCATTCGTGGGGCACTACAAGGCCGCACGATAGGAATCACGCGCGCTGCAAGCCTGCACAAGGATTTCGATTGTATCGCACACAAGGAAAATCAACTTGTAGATCCACCAAAGGAATATCATGTGAGGGCCGCGCATTAGGAATCAATGTGTAAATGCATTCGTTGTGTGAAAAAATCAATCAAGTTCTTTGTGTTTCCAAGTGTGTTGTTTGTGCGTGTTTCTGGGCCTACAACTGCAAGCCACTTACCAGCAAAAACACATGGTTGTTGGTCCCCCAAGTTTTTGCTGTTTGTTTTTCGTCTGCGTTGTCTGTTTTATTTCTTTCGTCGGCCAGGGCCCCACCCCCCTTTCCCCCTGAGCCAGGCACAGAGGAGCTCTTTTTGAAGGCCGCACATTAGGCATCAATGCGTAAGTCAGCACAACAATAATTTCGATTGCATCGTACACAACAAGAATCAAGTGGTAGATCCCCGCGCATGGATTTTATACGTAGGCCACACACTCGGAATCAAACCGTACTTGCGTTAGAATATGTAAGAGCCACAGGTTTTCCTTGACTCCAGGTCGGTTCTCTTATACTTTGGGGCTTACTCTCAAAAACCAGCTGGCAATCATAAAGTGCAATGAAGTTGCTCCCCCTAGTTGTGTTGTTGAAGTGGAACTTCTGAAGAGTAGTTCGCGTTGATCGCCCCATCACCAGTGCATGCTGTTTTTTTTCTGAATCAAAGTGTGCCCCTCGACGCTCGCACCTTGTTTCTTGACAGGGAACGTCTTGATGCTCAAACTGCGCCCCTGGCCCCCCCGGATTACAATGACAACAACGGCTCCTGCCTGAGACTTCCTCCAAATTTGCTCAGGACCCCGCTCCCGCCTGAGAATTCCTCACAAGTTACTCAAGATCGGTGTTCCCGCATGTGCGCATGTGACCTCCTCGCAATTTAGTCAGGACTCCCGCTCCCATCTGAGCCTCCTCACAATTTACTCAGGAACGGCGGTCCCGCTTGAGACTTCCTCGGGATTGAATCAAAACTTCTTCTCAATTTAATCACGACCCCCGCTCCCGCCAGAAAGGCCTTCATACTTTATTTAGGATTTGCGGTCTCGCCTGTGACTTCCATGCAATGGATTCAAACATCGCGCTTTCGACGCTCAGGAAACACGCTGCGCCAAGGACGCCGTCACAATTTACTTAGGAATCGCGCTCTCGCCATACTCAGGCACCCCGTTTGGATGTCCCACCCGCCCGGCCCGCCCGTCAGGAGATCGCCCGCCCGTCGTGGGCTCCCGCCCGAGACTTCCTTCAGGAACGGCGCTTTCGCCTAGTGCTTTCTCGAACGTTCACGCTCTTACCTTCCTGCTCGTCCTCCCTCTCCCTCCTCCCTCCTCCCTCCTCGCCTCCCTTCTCTCTCCCTCCTCTCTTCCATCATCCTTATGCCTCTCTGCCCTATCCCCTCTCCCTCCTCTCCCTCCTCCCTTCTCCCTCCCCTCTCCTGCCTCCTCCCTCCCTCTTTCTTTCTTTCTCTCTCTCTCTCTCTCTCTTTTTGTCTCTCTCTCTCTCTCTTTCTCTCTCTCTCTCTCCCCTCTCTATCCCTCTCTACCTCTTTAATATGTCTGTTTGTTGTTTTCTCTTTCTCTTTTTTTTTGTTCTCTCTCTCTCTCTCTCTCTGCCTCTAATCAACCGCCCCCTTCTTCGCTCCTTTCTCCTGGCGTTTTCCCTCCTCCTTCGTCCCTCCCCCTCCCTTCCCCCCGCTCTCCCTCGTTCTCCCCCTCCTCTTTTTGCAGGGCCCGCACCAATTCCAATGGCTGGCACATGTACGCCCACGAAGGATTGTCCGCTCGTTCAGATTCGCCCGCCTGTCTGAGCCCGCCGCCCCCCGAAAAGAGAAAGAATCCCCCAAAAGGGGGTGTTATCGAAGACGAACAGGGCAGGTATAGAGGGTGCGGGGAATTCGTTTTGAATGACACACAGGCAAATAAGAGCGAACAGTCTTATAATTATTGTTGAATGTGTATTATTAAACAAATATTCTTGTTGGATCGGAACCCTTATAGGCGCCCTGGCGCTCTCGCCGAGGCGCCGGCTACATTTTTATTGAAAGTGAGGCTCGCGCTCGAACGGTTTGGGGAACCGCCAGAACCGGCCCCCCAACAACAACAACAACAACAACAACAACAACAACAACAACAACAACAACAACAACAATAACAACAACGGCGACGACGACGACGACGACGACGACGACAACAACAACAACAACAACAACAACAATAACAACAACAACGACGACGACGACAATAACAACGCTTCCGCTTGAGGTTTCCTCCTTTTTACTCAGGGTTGGTGTTCTTACTCGCCGCCGAAAGCCGCCGTTCTAACAAAACCAGCGTTCCCGCTCGAGACTTCCCCCCGCTTTACCTTGGACCGACGCGCTAGTCTTTCTCTCATCAGCGCCGCCCTCAGCAAAAACAGCGCTCCCGCTCGAAGCTTTCTTCCTTTTGTACTCAAGGCGGTGCTCCTCCTCGCCGCCGAAAACCGTCGCCCCGACAAAACCAGCGTTCCCGCCCGAGACTTCCTTCCGGTTTACGCTGGACTGGCGCCCAACTCTCTTTTGAATTGGCGCCGCTCCCAGCAAGAACAACGTTCCCGCTCGAGGCTTCCTCCCTTTTTCCTGAAGACGGTGCTGTTCCTCGTCGTCAACAACCCCCGTCCCGACAAAATCACGGCTCCCGCTTGATGCTTCCCCCCTTCTTACTCAAGGCGGTGTTCCTCCTCGCCGCCGAAAGCCGCCGCCCCGACAAAACCAGCGCTCCCGCCCGATAGTTCCTTCCGTTGTACGCTGGACTGGCGCCCAGCTCTCTTTTGAATGGGCGCCGCTCCCAGCAAGAACAACGTTCCCGCTCGAGGCTTCCTCCCTTTTTCCTGAAGACGGTGCTGTTCCTCGCCGTCGACAACCCCCGTCCCGACAAAAGCCACGGCTCCCGCTCGATGCTTCCCCCCTTCTTACTCAAGGCGGTGTTCCTCCTCGCCGCCGAAAACCGCCGCCCCGACAAAACCAGCGCTCCCGACAGATATTTCCTTCCGTTTTACGCTGGACTGGCGCCGTACTCTCTTTTGAATGGGCGCCGCTCCCAGCAAGAACAACGTTCCCGCTCGAAATGTCCCTTCTTTTTCCTCGGGACGGTGCTGTTCCTCGCCGTCGACAACCCCCGTCCCGACAAAACCACGGTTCCCGCTCGATGCTTCCTCCCTTCTTGCTCAAGGCGGTTGTCTTCCTCGCCGCCGAAAGCCGCCGTCCCAACAAAACCAGCGCTCCCGCTCGAGACTTCGTTTTCTTTTCCGCTGGACTAGCGCCCTACTCTCTTCAGCATTGGCGCCGCTCCCAGCAACAACATCAGCCCTGCTCGAGACTTGCTCCCTTTCTATTCAGGGCCAGGTCCTTGCCTCACCGCCGACAGCCCCCATCCCCACCAAGGCAATCCTGTCGTTCGATACTTCCTTGTGCTTTACCCTTCGCTGGGGTTCCACTGGCGGTCTCGCATCGGCGCAGCAAGGCGCGGGCATGTATTTTCGAGGCGGGATATGTTGGAATTCCTCGGGGGAGGTGGTTGCAAGACCTCATTGGGCGGGAGATCTGGGAATGGGAATAACGGACCCCGCTATAGAACAAGAGTCCCCCATGATGTGGATGGTTACCATGATGGTCGCATGCTTCGTGTGGAAACATCGCGCATGAGGGTAAACTGATTGTTGTTGTTGTTGTTGTTGTTGTTGTTGTTGTTGTTGTTGTTGTTGTTGTTGTTTTCTTTGTCTTTTCCCGTCGGCCGGGCGCCCACCCTCCCTCGCCCTGAGCCAGGCACAGCAGCATTCTGCTTGAAGGCCGCACAATACCAATCAATGTGCAAGTCTGCTGCAAAAAACTGTTCTCTGTGCTTCCAGATTGTTGTTTGTGATGCTTTGGGACTTGCAGGTACGAACCACGTTCCAATTACAAACGCCGCGTTTTTAGTCCCCCAGGCAGTCTTCATTACAAAAATATTCCCTTTTGTGGCGGACGAGTGAAGAACTTATGTGAAAATCTTGAAAGCCCCTCCGCGAGTGTGTTCCAGGGCACGGAGATACAACCCTTAACCCCCCAATCCCCCCCCCGCAGGCGGTGGACATGGATGTGGATCCATTTTGTCCCGAGCGGGGCCATATATATATATATATATATATATATGTATGTATGTATGTATGTATGTATGTATGTATGTATGTATGTGTATGTATATAGTATATATGTATTTATTCATATCCATATCCATATCCATAGCCATGTCCATATCCATATCCACATCCATATCCACTTTTCGCCGAGGTCCCCCAGGATCGATTCCCCAGGCGGTGGTTGTGGATAATCCCCCCCCCCTCTGCGCGCCGCCGAAGCTTATCGGAGGGCTCCACCCAGATCTCCACGTCGTAGTCCTCCGCTGCGCCGGTCGTGTTCGGGCTGCGCCAGAAGGCCACGAGGAGGGGCCCGAACTGCGCCAGGCCGCCGCTCCTGTTCGCCGCGTACGCCTCGATGGCGGCCGCGAGGGGCGGGGAGTACGGGAAGACGCTCCTCTCGGGGAGACGCAAGGCTCGGGTACGGGGGACTCGGGTTGGCCTGGCGGGGGCCATCACAAAAAGGACGAGGCCCACCCTGAAGTTTGACGCGGGCTCCCGCTGCAAACACCCCACGATGATCGGGCCGTCAGAACCCAGGACGGGCTCGTCAAAAAAAAACGTCGGCAATCCCGAGTTTCGGCTTACTCGACTCTTGCGCTTCCCCGATCCTCTCGGGGTGGAGCACTCGTTGCATTCACTCGCCCCGCTCGCGCGAGGGCGGGCCCAGAATGAAGGGGCCCTGGGACACACAAATACATACACACAAATAAAAGGACTCCCAATATTTTCCATATTTTTTGGATTTTCGTCTTCCCCCGCACTTCCCATATTTCCCCATATCTTCTGGGATCGACGATTCATTGTGCCTGTGTGTTTCTTCCCCTCCTGACAGAAAGGGCGCGAGGGAAGCGCAGGCGCCAGGGCACAGCGCAGCCAAGCGGGCGGAGGGCGGGGGCGGAGGCACCGCGTGCTGGACGCAGGGGGCGGCGCGCCTGCTCGCGTGCAAGGGTCGGCGAATCCGCTGGGCGCAGCCGCTTGCCCCGGCGCCTCACTGGGGGCGGCCGTGCGTGGAGGGGAGTGCCGGGCAGCGGAGCCAGAAGCCGCCGCGTGGCGTGCAGCAGAGTTCGCACCCTCCCCTTTTCCTCGCAGCCCTTTCCCAGAGATTCGCGACGAAGCACGACCAAAGCCCTGGGCCCCATCTTTCTGCTGCATTTTTCGAGGCGGATCGATCTGTGAGGGTCCCGGCGGGGCCCGAACCTGGGCGAAATCGCCCGGTGTGAAAAAATTGCGGCCCCAGGATCTCAAGGCTCCAACACAGCCCGTTCGTCCAATCCAGTCCTCGTCGAGTCGCGGACCCCTTGGCGTTTCTTCCACCCATTCCCTCGGACCTACTTCTCATCCCGAGTCGCTGCTTTGAGTCCTGGGGCCCGGCGAGGGCCCCCACAAAAACAGCAACAACAAAGAACGCCCGTCGTATTTTTTTGAACGACGCGAGGGGGTCTGGGCGTTCGTCCAACCCGATCCTCGTGGAGCCAGTCGGCATCTTGTACGTCTGGCCTGCGTAGGTGTGGTCGGAGAGGCCGCGCCCGACGGCGCCGTTGCCTGGCACCACGCCGCTGGCGAGCAGGAGCCTCGGGGTGTTCATCGCCCCGCCGGACAGCACCAAGACGCCCCGCCGAGACAGCCGCGCCACCTCGCTCCTGCCGCTGGCGGTGTACCTTGACATCTGGACGTGGCATATTTTGCTCACACGGAGCGTGTTCGCCCGCTTTCGGGCCCCCAGGGCCATCCCAAATCGATCTGGCTCGAGAAGTGCCACAGAAGAATTTGGTCTACGGCTCCGGTGCTGACTGTTCGCCATGTTGCATGTTCCCCAAATCCTAAGTGGGATTCTTGCGTTCTCTGCACACCTCCGCGCAGGATCTCCTCGCCCCCTCCCCCCTTTCTTCCACCTTATCACCATCACCATCACAATCGTTATCACACTCATCATCATCATCATCACCATCATCATCAGTACCATCATCATCATCAGCACACACACACATTCATTCATAATCACACACTCACACACACCCTCTCTTCCACCTCACCACCATCACAATCACAATCGATATCGCACTCATCATCAACACCACTACCATAACCACCACCATCATAACACTTACCCCTTCACCATCGCCAGCAGCATTAGCACACTGTCTCAAAACCACACTCACTCATCAGCATCATCGCCGTCATCATCGAATTCGCACCATTTTTCATCACCGTCAATATCACAGTCGTTATCATCACCCACATTCGCTGGTACACTCATCACAATGACCACCATCATCACCACTATCATCGTGCACGCATCATTATCATCATCATCACAATCATAACCATCGTCGTCATCACCACCATTGATCACCATCACCATCCATTAATCACCACTCACCATCCCTCACCATCACCATCACTATTGTCACACATTCAACAATATCACCATCCCGTCGTGATCATCGACAAGAGGGAATTTCGTTTGTAAGTTCAGCGCGACAACATCTGAGGCGGTAGCGCCCCCCCCATGGGGTCCGCATATCATGTTGGTAATCGAACGGGTCATCGGAAACTTGTAACAGTCGTCGCTTCTCGGCTCGTCTGAATTGAACACTGAGAAATCTCAGGCGGGAGCTTCATTTGTGAGCGAATTGCGGGGAAGTCTCAAGCGTGAGCCTTTTCACCTATACGGTCCGCATTTGATGTTGGCAGTGCGAGCGGGTCATTGGAAACCTGTAATGTTCGTCAGTGTTCGGCTTTTCTGGACTGAGTATGGAAGAAATCTCAAGCGGGAGATTCGTTTGCGAGTGAATCGCAAGGAAATACTAACGAAAACCCCCTCCTATGGGGTCCGCACTTCGCGTTGGCAATCCGAGCGGGCCATTGGAGTGAATACAGACGAAGTCTCCGGCGGGAACTTCGTCTGTGAGTGAACCGCGACGAAGTCTCAAGCGGTATCCCCCTCCCTATGGGGTCCGTATTCATGCTGGCAATCCAACCGGGTCATCGGGAACCTGTACCTGTCGTTAATGTCCGGCTCCTCTGGATTATGGAGAAATCTCACGCGGGGTCTTCGTCTGTGAGTGGATGGCGAAGCAGTCTCAGGCGGGAGCCCCGTTCCCTATGGGGCCCGCATTTCACGTTGGTAATCCGACCGGGTCATCGAGGCGTTCCTCACGCGTCTGTGAATGAGTTGCAAGGAAGTCTCACGCGGGACCCCCCTCCCTAGTCACAAGTCGTTCGAGGAATTCGACAAGAGAGCGGTGGACTCCAGGGCTGAGGCGGAGCAGCTCGCGGCAGAGCTGAACTTCGTGCTGCCTCCCGCCTGAGCGCGGCCGCGAGTAATTCGGTGCCTGCGGCGTTGTCCCAACGGCTTGCTCTCGCGCCCCAGCGGCTCGCGGGACTGTCCCAACGGCTGTTGCCCCGACGGCGTCGCGGTTTTGCCATCGGAAAACGCGCCCCTGCTGGGCGCGGCGGCGAGGGCGCTAAGAAAAATCAGCATGCGCCTCCCTGCCAGGAGCAAGGGGAGGCGAATGAGGAGAACAGGCGGGATGGAGATGAGGGGGGGGGTAGAAGCAGGAGCAGGAGGAGGAAGAGGAAAAGGACGAAGAGGAAGACGAAAAATTGAACAAGGAACACGAGCAGGAGGAGGAGACGGAGGACGACGATGACAAGAAGGATGAGGAGGAGGCGCAACAGAGGGCGAGACGGGGGGCTGTGGCCAGGGCAAAGAGGAAAGAACGAAGGGCAATCTAAACAGATTATCATGTGGGGTCCCATCGTCGGAATCATCTTGGAACGTCCGATCTCAGGGTCGCTCCTTCCGCCAGCGGTGTACCTGACGCCCGTCGCGCTGCCGGACCCGTCGTGCTCGATCTCGGTCACAAGGCTCTCCTGGAAGGATTAAAAAAACACAAGGGCGCAAGCATGGGCTTCGGGAAATAGATGCGGGTATTTTGGATCGGCGCTGGACGCCATCTCCCTGGCGCGCGAAGCGCGCCAAGGGCGGCGCCGGAGACTCCACCCAGAAAGCCAACTGACGCTCCGGAAGTCTACAGTCGGACCCGATTGGACATGACACGCGAGAGGACACAAGACCCTTCCGAAGGCCACATTGCCACAGGAATGTAGGAAGCATGGGTCGCGAGACACAGGACACAAGGGTACCTTTGACTTGGCAGGGTCGACCTACTAATCTGGGCCGACTGTAGGGCTGTGCTGTGTTTTCCTCCTTCGGTCTCCAGCCGCAGGCTGACGTTTGGCCTGGCGAGCGCTCCCGGCAGCAGCACGGAGGCGGTGGACTGGCGGACGCCGCCTCGCGCCGTGACGAAGGGCACGCCCATCGTCCCGCCCAGCGGCTTCAGGGGGGCTGCCTCGCGGAGGTGCCCAGCGAAGGCCCGCTTCACGAGCGAGACTCCGGCGTCGTCCAGGTGGTGCTTGCCGTCGGCGCTGGGCGTCTGGGTCACGTGGAAGAGCTCCAATGCCAGAAGAAGAGAATGGGACGCACAGAGACATACCAATACTATGTGTCCGCCTTGGAGGCGCGCGTCCGACCCGAACATGTAGTATACCCATCTTGTAGTATATCGTTTCTCGTTCGGTGTGGCCAGAAAGCGCCCGCCACGACGCATATACTATAAGATTTCTCGGTGCGCGCGTCGCCCCTGGGGGGGCGACGAACACATAGTATGAGTATGTTTGGGGGACGCCGAGAGAGAGAGCTGCTTGACGAGCACGCGGATCCTCCCTCAGATCGGCGCTGGGTGCTCCCCCCCAGCGCGCGGAGCGCGCCAGAGGCGGCGCCGGAGGCGTCTCTCAGGGAGGGGGGCCCGGTGCCGACACGAGAAGTCCGCGCGGACCTCCGAGAGGTCATGGTTGTGCGGCTCCCTTCTTCGAAATACGGCCGCGAAGGAGGGCTCCACATCTTCCCACTGCCAGCCGGGGGGCCAGGCGGCGAAGCAGCCGGGCGTCGGCACCTGCATGAGGGCCCCGTTCATGACCCCGCAACCGCCCAGGACCTTGCACGCGGTGCCCGGCACGTCCTGCCAGTGATCCTCGCTCTCACCGGGGCGCTGGCAGGCCTGGGCCCTGGCCAACGGTGAGGCGAGGCCAAGACGTGGGCAAACTCGGACCAGGACAAATCGAAGATCTCTGGGATGCGGCGGTTCTGGAGGACTCCTGAGATCCGAGGACGGGAGAAAATGCACTAGGCCCCATCTTCCTGCTGCAGTATTCGAGCCGGGTCGATATGTGAGGGCCTTGGGCCCTTAAATTATGGGAAAACGCCTGACGCACAAAGGATGATGAGCCGCCAGCGCACAAGAACGCTCTGAGAAACGTTACGGAACGCTCTAGGACGACTTTGGCCCCGCCCGACGTGTGGTCCCCGGACTGGCCGTCAGGGAGGCCCTGGCGGCACCAGAAGGCCTTTTAAATCGAGGCACAGGGGGAACGCAGTTTTCTTTCTTCTAAGAATGGCTCGGAAGCCCCTAGGATCCGATGTTGCAAACAAAAGAAGAACGTCGTGGAACATCATGACCAACCCCCTAGACCCCATCCTCTTCCGCATGATGCCGACCGGATCGACGTGTGATGGTCCCGGGACCGAAACCGGGCGAAACCGCCCAGTGCGGTAAAAAGGCAACTCCCAGAGGACCCCGAGGTCACGACTTCGCAAATAATAAGGGTCCACATGCGAACCCTACCCCTGCCCCCCACGATTTCTGAAGGGGGAGGGTGGTGTTCACTTCGCCCGGGAGCTCTCGAGCAATGTGAAGCCCACCCTCCCCTGGGTTCTCATGTGGCCCGCTAAATAAGTGAGAGAGAGAGAGAAGGAAAGAGAGAGAGAGAGAGAGAAAAAACAAAGAAAAACAACAAAGAGAAACAACCCAAAAATAATGAGGGGGGAGGAAGAGGAAGAGGAAGAGGCGGAGGAGGAGGAAGGAGGAGGAGGAGGAGGAGGAGGAGGAAGGAGGAGGAGGAGGAGGAGGAGGCCCCCTAAATACCCCCCCGCAGGTCAGGACCCCTGCCAAGGACCCGTTTTTTGTTCGCTCCAGCGGTCCCAGGGCCCAGCGAGGGCGCCCCGAGGCGGAAAGCTGTTCGAGCCAAAAGAACAAAAAAACATCCCCGGCATGCTCCCCCAACCAGCGCTTGCACTGAAGGGGTCCTGGCGTTGTGGATGCCATGGCGATGGACACTCTAACAGCCCTATCATTAAATTAAAGATGTGTTTGGACTGTGTAAATCCTGTTCTCAACATGTTCCAAGCATTTCTTTCTACATGTTTCAGACATGTTTGAAACATGTTTTAGACATCTGGAGATTGTTGACGCTTCGCGAACCGCCACCAGCCCATCCAGAAACGATGCCCAAAGGAATTGCCTCGATCAGGGAAGCGGGCAGCACACAGAGGAAGGGTCCCCCAGTGGAGGCTTCTTGGAGCGTCTTGGGGGCCTCTTGGCGGTCCCGGGCGCCGTTTAAAGCGTTGTGGGTGCCTCGGGAAGCTTCGTGGGCCTCTTAGGGGGTCTTTTGGGAGCCTCTTGGAAGCCTCTTGGAACCTGTTGGGGCCTCCTGTACGTCTCTTGGGCCCTCTTGAAGCGCTCTTGGAGCCCTCTTGGGCCATCTTGGAGCCATCTTGAAGCCTCGGCGAGAAAGCCAAAAACATTGATTTCCCTAAGGTCTTGGAAGGATTTTGGCCTCTTCGGGGCCTCCTGGGGGAGCTCTTGGCATTGGCCACTTGGAGCCGTCTTGGAGCGGTCGTGGGGCCTCTTGGAGCATCGTGGGCGCCATCTTGAGGCGTCTTGGGATAGCTTGAGCCATCTTGGAGATCATCTTTGGCTCTCCCAAGCGCCCTTGGAGTCATCTGAAGCAGTGCCCCCCCCAGGAGGCCAACATGTGGCCAAAACCTTCAGCGATTTTGGCATTGTCGCCGAAGCCTCTTGGAACGTCTTGGGTGCCTCTGGGGTGCCTCTTGGGGCCTATTGGAGGTCTCTTGGAAGTCTCTTGGGGGCCTCTTGGGGGCCTCCTGGGGGCCTCTTGGGGCACCGTTGGGAGCCTTGGGGGCCATATTTGGGCTATCTTGGGTGAGATCGATCACAGGAGGGGGGGGTACGGATTGCAGTCCCCCCACCAGGAGGCCAAAATGGGGCCAAAACCCTGGTAAAACCAATGGTTGGGTTTCCTCGCCAAGGCCGTTTTGGACGGTCCGGCGACTCGCGAAACCCCGCGTCCAAGTCCAGGGGAGGGGGCAAGGAGAGGGGGCAAGAGTCTCCCTCCCCGCCCGCAAGCCGTCTCGCTCACTCCCACCCGCCGTCCCAACACATACGTAGCACCCGAGCCTGGCCCGAGCCACAGCATATGCAGCAGTCGTCTTTGAATGGGCAGCTACTGGGGGCGCATCCGCCGCCGCCGCCCGCCCGCCGCCGCCGCCGCCGCCGCCGCGCCGCCGCCGTCCGCCGCCGCCGCTGTCCGCCGCCGCCGCCGCCGCCACGTCGCCGCCGCCGCCGCCGCGCCGCCGCCCCCGCCGCAGCCGAATCGCCGCCGCCGCCGCCGCCGCCGCCGCCGCCGCCGCCGCCCCCGCCGCCGCCGCCGCCCCCGCCGCCGCCACCGCCACATAAGTCGCAGCCGCTGCCCCCGCCACAACCGCCGCGGTCGCTGGCGCCGCCAAGTGTACTCTGCATTGTTTTTTGTAAGGGATGGTGGGAGGAGGCCGCATCGGGTTCGCTGCGCATGCTCAGAATTTGGAGGCAGCGTGTGTTTTGTATGGTTTTTTACCAGGATGGTGGGGGCAGAGTGTGTTTTGTTTTTGCTTTTTACAAAGGATGGTGGGGGGGGGCCCGCGTGGACCTGGGTTGGCTCCCAGTCGCCTGGGGGAGGGGGTGTATATCAATAGGGAACAATGATACACCCCTCCCCGAAGGGGAAGGAGGGGTGGAAGAGGAAACGCTCTAAACCACCGACGCCCAGAGGGCTGGTGGGAATATTTGGCAGCGTGCTTCCTCTCCATTAATTAATCGACTTCCACAATCCTAGCGGAAGTTGAAAGAGTTCGCCAAAGTGTCCCGCCGACTTTGGTCGCGCGCTGGGTTCCCGGGTTCCCGATGCCGGGCTCCCGGGTTCCCGGTTAATGGTTCCAGACCGATTTCGGTGGGTTCTGGGCTCCCGGGCTCCGGGTCGATCTCCTCAGCGAAAACCATCCACTGATTGGGGTTTCTCTCTGATGCAATTTTGCTCACGACGCAAGTGGGCCTGGGAACTGGGCCAGGTAAAGGACCGAACTCTATACACCGACGCTTTCTTCGGCCCCGCACTGAAACTCGCACAGGAGAGCGGATCCTGGTGTAGACGGGGCCCTGGTGTATACATCTCTCGCTGCTTCCGCAGGCAAGGGGGACAAAAAGCAGTGCACACCACACCAATCCCCGACGTCGTCCCCTATACCCTGAAAAAGCTCTGGGATCGAAAGACAGCCCGCCACTGGTACTGCATACGTGCCAGCTTCCCAACCTCGGGCCAGGGCCACCTCGGCCAGCGCCCGAGCGCCTGGCCTCCCAGCACCGGGTAGTTGCCGGGCACGTCGTACCGGGTCACGTTCTCGAGGCGCGGCGCCCACTCCTGCCACTGGCCGTCGGCCCCCGCGCTGCCCGGGGCCGCCCTGCCGCCCAGGGCGAAGTGCGAGGCCCTGCCGGCCTCCAGGGCGAGAATCCGGAAGTCGGCAGGCAGCAACTCCGCCAGCCTCGGGCGTGCGCTCTTCAGTCGCGGGGGGGAGGGTGCATTGTGGCGGGGAGTCATGGGGGGGAAGCGATGGGGGGCGGGCCTCCTCAGAAGGCTTGGAAGTCCACCCAGCCTTGTGAGAGATCATCGAAACCTCCGCCGAAGACACAGGAAACTTCCCAGCAGGCCGGAGGGCTTCTGAGAAGCCCCGCCGCCTTCAGAGGAGGCCCTTTCCCTGTCGCTTCTTCCCCCCGCCCTTGCTTGCCGCCGAGCAGAGGGCGCGGGGAGCCGCACCGCACGCCTCTCGTGCAGCTGCTGGGCCCGCGGTGGCAGCCTGGGGGCCATCTGGGGCTCCTTGACGGGCCACCTCCATGCGATCCTGGGTCCCCCCCCCGCTGACCGCTCCCCCGCTGCAGTCCGCCAGCCTCCCGACGACCCACAACTACGACGGCGCGACGTTTCGTTCGCAGAGACACTCAAGAATCCACACCCCTTCCCCAGGACCGGCGTCTCATCCCGAGTCGTTGTTTGACGGCCTTGGGGCGTGGTGAGGGCCCCCGGAGACCGAAAACGACTACGTAACCGCTCGCCGTAAGTGTTTCACGACGAGGGGAGGTGGGGGTATCTCTTCTCTCCTCTCCTCCCTCCCCTTCTTTCCTTCCTCCTGTTTCTCGTGTTCCTCCTCCCTTATTCTTTTCCTTATGAACAACTCCTCCCTGTCGCACACCGAAGCCAATCGGAAGGGTGGGCCGGGCGCTTTGTCTGTAACTGCCCAGCCGCTTACGAGCCTGAAGCTTCAACACTTGCAACAGCTTCACACATGGAGGGCGGGTCGCTTCCAAAATGTGATTCTCGCCTTAGCGCCGCGCAGCTCGTCTGAATACGTCTCAAGAAATTCACGGATTGAGGGCGGGTAGTTTTCAAAATGTTGGTCTCGCCTTATCGCCGCGCACATTCGTTTCAAACATTTGCAGAAGTATTGCTGATTTTGAATGATTCAGGATTGTCAGGGCGCAACAGTCACGTTGATTCGGCACGATTGGGGGTCGCCAAGACGTAACAGTCAGTCTGACTCGTGGCGTTGAAATCCTGAGAATGGTGTTTTGGTGCGCTTCAGAATTTTCGCACAGTTGTCCCCCCAGCGGGGTGCAGTCTTGGGTTTGCACTGGTCCTCCTCCTCCTCCTCCTCCTCCTCCTCCTCCTCCTCCTCCCTCCTGTTCGTCTCCCTCCTGGAGCTTTGGGCCGAAAGCGCCCAGCGAACCCCCCCGCCATTTATCTCGCACCTCGAAAGGGGGGGGGCCCTCCAGCCTCCCGAGGACTCCGGAGGTCCAGAGCCCGACCCGGAGGTCACTTCCCCGCGAGCATGCCGGGCCGAAGCCGAGGCAAAACGCCCGCATCGACCGCGCCGCTTCGTCGGAGACCTGGGGCGCGCCAGCCTCCCGAGGACGGCGGAGCCCGACAGCCCCGCACCTGAGCGTCGCTTGACCGATCCCTGTCACCCACTGGCTTGCCCTGGGCCCCACGGGCCGAGTTGCCCCCCCCCCCCCCAGATAGGGCTACGCAGGCCGCTCCCCTCGAGGCTCGAGGGGGCACCCGGTGGCGTGGTGGGCACGGGGAGGGAGAAAGGGGATGGAGCTGGAGCTGGGGATGGGGATGGTGAGGATCGGGATGGGGGCATGGGGACGGGGAACGGGCATCGGTTCAACGCTACTGTTAAGTCGGGCGTGTCCTCATACAGGGGAATTCTGAGCGAAAAACAAACAAAAATTAAAATTTCCCCCAAATGGGCAAACATAATCAGAACATCGTCGCCAGACTTTTTTATCTTTTCCTATTTTTGAATATTCCCCCGGTAGAGGGACAGGCCCGACCTAACGTTACTGGGCACCCACCACCACCACGTCGAGGGATGGAGCTGGAGCTGGGGATGTGGATGGTGCTGGAGCTGGAGCTGGGGATGGTGAGGATGGAGCTCGAGCTGGGAATGGAGCTGGAGCTGGAGCTGGGGATGGTGAGGACCGGGATGGGGGATGGGGGACGGGGAACGGGCATCGGTTAAACGCTGCTGAGCACCCACGACCACCACGTCGAACTCGCCCTCCGCCGCCCCGGCGGCGGGGAGCGCCGCGGCGCCTCGCGCAGCCCCGCGCGCACGGCCGCGGGCCCCTGCGCTCTCCGCTCGCCGGCGCTCCCCTGCGGCCGGAGCCCTCTCCGCTCGCCGGCGCTCGCCGGCGGCTCGTCGGTGGGAAGGAGCGAAGAACGGCTGCGGGGTAAACTTTCGTTGGGCACCGAACTCTATTAGAGGACTCTATTAACTAGAGGCCTCCTAGGTGGGGTCGGAGTAGACGGGGTCGGAGGATCGCGTCGATCGGCGATACATCGGCGATGAATCGGCGATGTATTGGCGATGCATCGGCGACGTCGGCGATGCATCGTTCACGTCCGCGTCAAGGAAATCGGCCTCCGCGTGAAGCCGCATCGGCAATGCATCGGCGATGCGGCGCGATCCTCCGACCCCATCTACTCGGACCCCATCTAGGAGGCCTAGATCTATACACCGATCAACAGCCTCGAACTGATCCTTACCCCTAAGATGGGCGAGCAAAAAGCGAGGACAGTCTTAGGGATAGGCCCTCAGAAACTGAGGGAATCCTCAAGATCGGCATCGAGGTGAGGTGATGTCAAACATAGGGATGGGGATATGTTTCAAACTGGTAAACCGATGCTGTTTGCGGCACTGCACTGAAGTGTGCACAGGGGAGCGGATCCTGGTGTCTATGGGATCCTGGTGTATACGTGTTCCGCTGCTTCCCCGGGAGAACACGGGGAAACAAGCATACACCACACCAATCCCCGACGTCGCCCCCGCCCCTCGAAAAGTCCTGGGGTTGAAAAACAGCCCGCCACTGGTAATGTGTATGCGCCAGCTTCCGATTTCGGGAGCCCAGGCATTCTCACGTCGTAGCATTACGACGGGAGGTTGTTCGCCGTGCTCGGCCTCCTGGGGCCCTCGCTGGGTCTCCGCGCCGCCCAGAACACGAGCCGCGATGCAGAGCCAGTCCCGGGGAAGGACTCCGCGGACTTCCGCGGACCCCGGGAGCGGCCAAGAGGGGGGGTCTCCAAGAGGGGGGGGTGCAAATCATGACCGGCGGCATGTGCGCGGCCCAGGGGGGCGGGGCCAGGGACGTAATGAAATAAGAAGAGGCGCCATGAAATCTGGGGAAATATCATGGCCCCCGCCATGATATCCACCACCCCCAGCCCCCTCTTTGCCGCCCCCGAGGACCCCGTCCCGAAAGAACATCCGGAAGTCGCATGTCTGGGGAGCTCCGCGCGGAGTTCCTGGCTCGGCGCTGGAGCCCCCCAGCGGCGCCCCCGGCGCCACCCCTGCCGCGCGCTCCGCATGCCAAGAAGAGGGGGTCCAGCGCCCCTCCACGAGATGTGCGCGGACCTCCCCAGACTTGAGCAGGGACCGACCGTCCCGGCATTCCTATAGTCCTACCACGAAATGCTCTTAGAACCCGCAAATGCTCAAAAACAAAAGCAATGTTCTTAGAACATAAGCCCGATGTGATAATACAAGACAACCTCAACCAGACATGTTCTAAGAACATTTCGTGGAAACCACGAATGGTTCTTAGAACACTGTTTGGTAGGGCCATAAGCGAGCCGGGACGCTTCGCCACTGCTTGACAGACATACGATGCCTCGTTTTTTTCGCTATGGGATCCGCGGAAGTCCAGAGCCTTTCCTCCTGATCGTGATCGTCCTGGGCCTGGCGAAGACAGCGACCCCTCCTGCGGCGATGTTTTTGCTACAGCGCCAACATGTCTGCGCATCTGAAAGTTTACGCTTCAGCCATTGTTTCTTCTTCGAGCGGTGCTGCACCAGGCCAGCCTCCTCCGCCTCGTCGCAGCCCTCGGCCGGGCAGGTGCCCGACTCCCGCGGCCCAGCGCCCGCGCGCGGTAGGAGCAACGCAAACAACGCCAGCGCGGCTCTCATTGCACGCGCGCAGCGCCGCACGCAGCCCTCCGCATCAACCGGCCGGCACCTGGGCAGCTCTGAGCCGATTCTCTGGGAGTTCAAAGATTACCTGGAACTTCTGACCATGAGCGTCTGCTCAACGTGCCGCGGCGGCGGCATTGGCGATACGCTGTGCCGTGCAAGGGGATAGCGTGTCCCTCCGCTCCGCGGGGCGGGAGGCTGGGCAAAGCTCGGGGCACTGACACTTGGGGGCCTGGACGTGGATAGCGCGTCACGCCGCAGCGACACGCGAAGTCAAAATTTCTGACCGTATACTCTGGGAGTCGAAGAAGCAATGCAACGCTGCACCTGCTGTGACATCGCCAAGTGCTGTGGTTGCGTCCTCAGATGCAGCGGCGCGCATGCGCGGCAGCGCAATTGTATTTGACAGGGGAGCAGGGGGAGGAGGAGGAGGAGGAGGAGGAGGAGGAGGAGGAGGAGGAGGATACGATACGATACGATACGCACACCCTTAGCGCCATGTTTTCTGGTAGTCCAGTGAGTACTGTACTGACCCAATGTCAAAATCGCGCAGCAGTGGGCCCTGAACATTCAAGACTGACTGGAGGCATCGTGACGCGGTGAACCTTCTCTTTGGAATGAGTGCCGATGCCGAAGCTCTACGCACCAGGGCCGCAGACAAGGCCTCGCACGGGGCCGTCCTGGCCCCTGCAGCCACCGACGCATAAGGTAGCCACAGGGGGCTGAGGCGAGGCGAGATTCAGGGTTGACCGCTTGCTTTCTTAGCAATGTCAAGAATGTTTCTACTGCTAGCGAAAACAGAAAACCTCTGAGACCCTGGGTAGATCCCCCGAGAGGCCAAGTATTCAGTTACTATCTGCTTTTCAGTGCGAGGAGGAGGAGGGGGAGGAGGCGGAGGACTCACAGGAGTGGGTGAGGGCTCAGGCGCGGGCCTACTAGAACTCGAAGCTGAGCTGGCCCCCGTCGGTCTCGAGGGAGTGTCTCGTACAACATCGCGTATATCGGGTATTTCCAAAATGATGTCAGAGCGGCCGTCAGGATCATAAGAATCAGTCGCCAAAACGCTCGGCAATGCCGAGCTCGAACCAATCTCAGGTAAGTTGAAAGCCGCTCGTACTTGATTCACTTCAGTAGGGCCTCCAAGAAGGTCTGGATCTCCCGCTCCATGAGTGATGCTGGGGCTCTGCCGTACTTGCGTGTCGTCTGTGGCACTTGAGAAAGGCAAGCCAAGAGGGTATGGCGGAGCTTCGCGTCCCTGGTGGCAAGGGTGATCCTGCGACGCTCTTTCTGGAAGACCTTGTCCTGACGGCAAAATAGAATTAGCTCGCACTTCTGCTCGACTTAGTACCCGTCGTACTCCTTCCATGCTGTCGCGAGGTCGGTGTGATTCTGGGCTCCGAGACTGTCGCCGTACGTCAGAAGTCCTTTGATGAGCCCGCCCATCGCATATATGTGTGGAGGTCCGAGGGTGTGCCCTTTGCCCTTTGACTTGGTCTCGGCGGCGTAGGCCACGGTCTGTTCGCTCATCATCGTGATGAATGCGACCGTCATCGGGACGATGAGAGTGTCGAAGATGACCCCTGACATGTCGCGACACTGCTGGCTGAACCTGAGGATCTGCTTCAGCATGAGCGCGAAAAGCTTCTTCTGCTTGTCGGGGATCTGCTCGGCGATCTGTTTGGACTCCTCTTTCGTGCCGCCCTCGATGCGGCCTTTCTTCCTCTCGTCGCGAAGGCCCTGGCCCCCGTCTCCGCCCGAGCCCGCCGCTGATCCAGTCAGTGCCGCCAGGACGCCAGGCATGGTGGAGGAGGAGGAGGAGGAGGAGGAGGAGGAGGAGGAGGCGGGGGAGGTCGGGGGACACCGATGCCTGCCCGCAAGCAGCAACGAGGGCACTGCCCTGATCCCGGTGCCGCTTCGCGCCGCACCCAGTGGGCTACCCCTCGCTCGACCGCCTGCATGCCTCCCGCATCCTGATTATCCACCGCCTCTTCCTGTTCGGCTTCTCTCTTGCCTCCTCGTGATCTTTCCCCTCTTCCTCCAGCCACCTCCTCGCCCGCTCCGCCCCCCCCTCCTCCACCTCCTGCTCAACTTCTCGTGCAATCTCCCGCTCCTCCCTCTGCTGCTAATGGTCACGCCCCTGCACCTCCGTCCTCCCCCTTCCCCTCCTGACCCAGCTGTCTTACTTATGGCAAACTCCTCGCCGCTCCACTAGACGTGTCGTTAGGGCGAGCAAAGCGCTTCGCGTGAGACTTCCTGACGCTTATGGCCCGTAAGCGGCTAGTACATATATAAACATATATATATATATGTCTATATATGTGTATATGTATATACAAATATACACGGAAGGAGAGGATCTTACTTCAATAGTAGGCTCTCTCCTTAGCGCCACGCACGTTCGTCCCAAACGCCAGTGTTTTGGGGGGATGTCCAGGTCATTCACGGAGCTTGGGCTCTGACTCCAGTTTCGAAAGACCCCAGATGCAGGCAACGGCTCGTTTATGGTAGGTTGGCCTGCACGCTGCTCCTGGTGCTTTGGAGTACTCCGTTCCCGACGTCCCCTTTGTGTTGCCTGTGCTTTGGTATTTCTGGCATGGGCCAGAGCTGAACGCAGCCGATCTGCGAGTCATCCGGTTTTGGCAACCACGGTCCTCTTCGTCGACCTTCTCCTCATCTTCCTTCCTCGTCCTCCTCGTCCTCCTCCTCCTCCTCCTCCTCCTCGTCCATCTCCCCATCCAGGTGCGATTTAGTTTCCTCGAGAATGTGAGCCTTCTCTTTTCACTATTTGATTCCCGCCCGCATTTCCGTCCCTGTCAGCCCGTCTGTCTCACACAATTTATTGATGCGCTCGCTTGCGGAGGCTTTTGTCGTCGGGGGGGTCCGGTCTCCTCTCCTCCCAAAGCGTACGTGTTGAAGCATGGAGATGTCTAAGGCCGAGGGGACCTCACCGCCAAGGCAAAGGGTGCAAGCCCTGGAGAATCGTGAAGATGGATGCGCCACGATAAAGTAAAGCATCGGCGAGGATGGCAGCCCATGCTGCTCCACATCCAGCCTCTCCTAGGGCGTGCGGCCGCCGGCAAAGGCCAATTGGAGGGAGGGAGGGGGGATGCGGAGCAGGCAGAGGAGGCAGAGAGCGAGCCCACCCCGGCAGGATTAGCCAGGCCTCCGCCGGAGGCAAGAGAGGGCGGACAGAGAGGAGAGGGGGGAGCCTCCCGCAGCGGCTCCTTGGGGCGTCGCACCGCCAACGAAAACTCCGGCCACGTGCGAGCCAGTGAGCCCTGAAGACCGGCTGGCGCACACTTGGCACACGTATCGGCCACGCTGCCGGGAAACCCCATGCTACGGACAAATGCATCGCACCAGCTCCTGGACAGGCCAACACAAAACAATGGCCGCGTGAGACAAGAACTGGCGATGACGCCGCACAGAGATGCAGGAGCAGAGGGGCAAGAACGAAGTAGAAACGAATGACAGCGACACGGATATCTTGTTTCCCCGCCGACGCGTGCGACAAGACTACAAGGCCTCAGGTGTGTCTGGACTTCCAGCGGCAAACTGGTGCAGAGAGGGGCAGAGGATGAAGGGGAGGAAAAACGAGGGGGGAGAGAGCGGGAGGGGTGAGGCATCGCCCGCGGCCAAGATTGCGTCCGGCTTCTTTGGAGCCGCGGCTGGAGATCCTGAACCCGGGAACCTGACAAGGGAATGCCCGCTGGCGGCAAAAGCTGTTAGCGCGCCAGGCCCACCACCCCAGGCGCGTGGGTCAGGGAGCGCAGCATGTCGAGCACACACGCCTGAGACAGACATCGGCCAGTGACCTCAAGAAGCCCCTAGGTGGTCCCAGAAGGTCACCCACGCTGGAGCCTGGCGCCCAGGATCGACAGGCGCTTTTCGGGCAAGAGAACACTCAGTCTCGACTCCAAGAATGCCAGTGACACGAGGCATCTTCACGGCCGCCTTGATCAGATGCTGGAGCTTCGGGTGGCCAAGCGCGGCAGCCTGAACCCAGCCACGAAACGCGTCTGGCGCATCGGCTGTCGAAAACCCATGGCGCCAGGCGTTGTGCGCCCGAAAGAGCGCAAAAACGCCGACTGCGCGCAAGGCAAGTCGGCTACGCCCTAAGGTCGCGACGACAGAGAACATGAAACGAAGATCAAAACGCGTCGTGTTCGAGAGAATCCTCACCTCGTCGGCAGCCAGACAGCCGCCTGCTCCTTTGAAACACCGTGCTCTTACCTGCCCCGGTACGCAGCACGCAACATGTAGCGTATTGATACGGAGCTCCACACGTAGACTGAAAACGTAGGTCTGACGCGATGCGTTCCCCAAAACGTGGGCCAATACGTGGAGCCAACACGCAACGTATCGACACGGACGTTTTGAGCACGGTGCGTGTTGCGTATCAAAACGGGCGTCTCAAGGCAGAGCTGAGACCGTGCTGTACACCAAGCGTTCCACGCCGGGCGCGGCTGAAAAGCCTGCACCCATGGGGGGGGGGAGGAGAGGAGCGGAAAGAGGCAGCGAACGCGCCCAAGCGGCGGGGCGGCGCCCATGGGAACACGGAACTTTGCCGGGGCCGAGCCTGCGCCTTCACGGGTCCAGCCGAAGAGTGCCTGGCAGCGGCGCGGGACACCCGCGTGTCTCCGGCCTGCCATCCGTCCTTCTCGTCCGCGGCGGGGTGGCCTGCCAGCGACGGGCCGCCGCGCCGCCTGCTCCGAGGCCGCCCGTGCGCTGCCGCGCACAGGTGGAGGATGCAGCAGTGCCCCACGACATGCTTCAAAATGTGCACATCGCCTCGGCGCCGCGCACACCTGTCTTGACAACTTCCAGCGCTCACGCGGATGCTGGAAGGGCGGCTCCTTTTCAGTATTGGCCTGTCGCTGCAGACTTATTCACGTCTCATGGCCATGCGTTCGACAGAGTGCAGCAGATTTCGTGGTGGAGGGATCCTCTTCTTCATACTCATATGTACGCCTGTGCAAAGAAATAGAAAGAAAGAG